AAGGAGGAGTCACTATAAGTCTGATCCAACTGGATGGCAGTCAGTGAAGGCCCTTGTGCACTCCACTCCCTCCTGCCGGTGGGGTCACTGAGTCCAGCTGCTGCTCAGAGCTGGCCTCCTCTGTGGCCGCCGCCTCATGGCAGATGCTCAAGTCGCACCTGTTCTGAATTCACAGCTCCTAAGCAACCTGAGGGAGCTCTGGTAGCATAGTGCCTAAGGCACTTGACTGCTAACCGGAAGGCTGGTGGTTCAAACCCACCAGCCACTTCCCAGAAGGAAAGCTGGGCAATCTACTTCCTTAGTGATACCGCCTCAGAAACCCAAGGAGGGGTCGCTGTGGGTCACATCTGACTCCACGGCAATGGTTGCATTACATTTACATTGCATGCAACCTGAGGGAGTTCTGGTAGCATAGTGCCTAAGGCACTTGACTGCTAACCAGAAGGCTGGTGGTTCAAACCCACCAGCCACTCCTCGGAAGGAAGGTTGGGCAATCTACTTCCATAGTGATACCGGAAACCCAAGGAGGGATGTCTATGAGTTGGATCCGATTCGACAGCAGTGCACTGTTTGTGTTGTTAGGTACCTGTTATGCTTGCTTTGAAAGTTACCTTTGGGGGTTTTATGGGAATTCCTTCATTATACCTAATAAATAATAATAAATGCAATTACATTTACTTTAGAATGTATATGCCTATCATGTGCAAATTCCTTTTATAAAGAAGTGGAATTAGTGTTTATTCATATGAGTCTCCTGAGGATCAAGAATTTTTGAAGCAGTCCACTAAGTTTAAATATATCTTTTCATGATAGATTTGGACTGACCCACTTACCTTTACAGTATATAAAAATTCCAGTAAAGATGAATTAGTAGAGACTTATTCTAATAAGGTACGAGCAAGCCAAGAGACAAGGAATATGCAGAAAAAAATGTGAAGTCTTGGATGATAGATAGCTCTTAATTGGTAAGTGAGGGAGTAGTATACAGCAGGGTGAGGGACAAAAGAAAAAAAATTGTCTTTAGAGAAAATGTAATGCATAAAGAAACTTCATCAAACATTTCAAATTTCTTTAGTTGCTTTTACTATGTTTCTAGGAATTCACTCTCATTTGACACTTGTGTTCAATGTCTTAGGCAGCAAGTAACATTCTTTGCTAATTCTAGGACTATCTGAATGAACTACCAGGCTCATACTTTCATAAATAACTTCCTGAGACAGGAAAGATTTTCTTTGACGAGAATCAATAATCAACAACAAACCTATCACTAGGATCTGTACTTCCAGTGACGATTTTGCAAGGGAAGCTCACTTGCTTGGTGTTGCAATAATGAATTCCTGCCTATTTTAAGTTATTTTTCTTACCCCTATGGAGTAACCTATTCCAACTCACATATTTCAGTCTTTTCTGATTTAAAAAAAAAAAAAAAGTTGAAACAATGAAGTCAGTATCTGTCAAATATCTTTCAACTCTTCAAAAATGTAACTGTTTATATGAGATCAAAGTATGTTTATTTTATTTCAACTTTGACCAGTATTTAGTCCTTTTTGTTTTATTTCCATTTAACTGAGGCTATATCAAATGAAAAATAAAAAATTAATATTAAAGAAGAATCTTTTTAAAAGAAAATAAACAAAATTTTTGGGAAAGTTACTCATGAATAAAAGTTGAACAAAAAATTAAACCTAAAAAAGTTTTTGCAATGAAAGGATTTCAAAAAACAGGTACATATAAACATAGTGGGAATTCTCCAGATAGTCTACCGAAATAAACTTTGCTATTCTAAGAACCAAACGACACCAGTATTGTTTCTATTTCTATGTATTTAGGTACAACATGAAAGCACTAATATACCAGTTATCATTAGTAAGACATATGATCAGTTTAAATGGATATTGTTTAAACATGTACTTACCCTCCAATTAAGATAAATGTTTTAAATAGTTCAAATGTTAGTATTCCTTTCTCAAATGAAAAAAAAATTTACATCAACAAATGTCACCAAACCAAAACCAAACCAAACTCACTGCTGTCAAGTCAATTCTGACTCGTAGAGACCCTGTAGGAGAGCTTAGAACTGACTCCATAAAGTTTCCAAGGCTGTAAATCTTTAAGGGAGCAGTCGGCCTCATCTTTCTTCTGCAAGCAAGTGACTCGTGGGTTCGAACCACACAAACTTTTCTCTTAGCTGAGCGCTTTAACCACTGTACCACCAGGGCTCCTAAATGTCACTAAATACACTAGACATGTATTTTTCACAAAGGCAACAGACAGCTTTGAAATCCTTTTGCATTAACCAATAAATGGTATTCTCTATCTGCAGACTGCACATATAGAACCACCACCACTTCTCTTTAAAACAATTGCCATGATCATACTATATTGATCCAAATTAAGAAATCTAAGTAAGAGAGAGTTCATGACCTCTTAGGTGGTACAGAGACAAATACCTAACTCCTAAACATTTGCTTTTCTAGTTCTCAACCAGAACTTCTGACTCCACCCTCCACCCTACCCCCAAGTGAGGTACCAAATCCCCCACTGCAAGCACTAAGAGCACCAGCATCCACGCTGGCTAGAGGGAAGAATTTAAGGACCATAACTGAGACTCTAACACAGCTAACTTACATTTCTCTGCCCAGTGTTAACAGCAGTATGTTCTTTTTGCCCTCACATTTATCTGTTTCTCCTTTTGTCCTCACACCAACACCTGAGGTCTGGCGAGTTTGTAATACTCCCACTTCAAAGACTAAAAACCTGAGATGTGAAAATAAAGCTGCTTGCCCCATTATGTGAGTCTGCAGAGTTGAGAACCAGAAGCCAGGTCTCTGGATTCCCAGGCCCAGGGTTCCTTTCCCACATTGTCTCCGGCTTCAACATTCTCTTAACCCACTAGGTTTTCACAATTTCCATTTTCAGCTAATAATCTAGACAAACAAACCTGTACTGTACTATCCCCCTTCCACAGCATTGTGTGAAGGGATCATGGCTTATATCAGAATTTCTAAGCAGCATTAGGCTAACCAGAGAAAATGTTAAGATGACAGCACCTCAGGCCATCTCTAAAACTTTAAGATGTCTTCGTGTTATTCCAACAATAATCTCTAACCTTACCCTTGCTGTGACACAAACAGAAAATGATAGTATCTGTACAGCTGCTCAAGGCCAGAGCTGACCAGCCAGAAGATTCTGATGGCTCCAAGTCTTGCCCAGGCCATCTTGAGAATAGGGGGTATGTGTGTGTGTGTGTG